AGCCTGGGTCCTACGTCGAGTTAGTGCGCAGGCGAACTCGCACTAAAGTCCACACCAGCAAGTTGCTAGCTCGGGTGAACCGAGAACTTAAGGAACTGCGAGAGAAGCATCAATGCTTGTGGGGTCAGTACAATCTCAATCAGAAATTGTACAAACACTACGACAAGGTGAAGGATGGGAGACTGGAAGAGCTCACCAAGGAGCAGGTGAAGGTCACGGAAGCACTGATTTCTGAGAAGACTCAGAATCAGGTTTTGTTAGAGGAGCTCGTGCGACAGACGCGGTTGTTAGAACAGTGTCAGCTCGCGCGACAGGCGGATGAGGAATTAATCCGCAGGCTGCAATTCGAGTGCGGAGAATTGAGAGCACAGCGTGCGGAGGCCGAATCGCAGTTGGTAGTAATTGAAGACGATCGCCGACGAGAGGCAGATCGCACGAAGGAAGAGATGGCGAGGCGAGTCACCCACTGTCTCAAGGGCTACGCCCACTGGGAAGTGGCGGCGCAGGAGAGACTCACATTGCGTGAGTTAGAGCTTCGTGCAGCCGGGTTGTTGACGGGTGACAGTCGGAGTCGGCGGCGAGAAGCGAAGAAGTTAGATTCTTTTCTATCGAAGGCGCGAGACACCATGGCCACCCTTGAGACGGAGGTTTCCGCGGTCTTGCAGCGTTTGGGACTGCGCAGTCGAGCTGAGGACTGGCAGGGTAGAGAGTTAGTGTGCGGTAGTCCGTCGCGCAGGAGGCGAAGCAAAGGTTCCGCGGAGTGTAGTGTAGCGTTGTTCCGTGCCGGCGTGTAGCGTAGTGCAATGTAGTGCTAGTTAGGACTTAGAAGGTATAAAGTAGTTCAAGGCGTCTTGCCTTGGGATCTTTCCCAACATCGGAAGTGCAAATCAGGAGCTCATTTTCTTTGCGTGTTTGTGTCGTTAATTCTGTCACCACGCAAGAGGAGCTACAACTTGGCGTTCCGCATTTTGTAGCTGAAGGCCTTCGGCCGAATGTTCAGAGCTAGTACATTGGTTAGAGACTTGAGTAGCTCGGATCTACACCTACGGGTGATTGCCGATGCTTAGAGCAATGACTAGTTAGATACTTGAACATTTTCCCCCTTACACCTTTGAGTGGTTGAATCTGATTGTACTCCTTCGGGATTTTTCCCCTGAATGCCAAAGTGAAGTTTTGCGACTTCGTGTAAGCCTTGGTTGTAAATTCAGGTTACGCTGCAGCAAGTGCCTTCAGGGTAATCCCTGTAGTATTTCTGGGAATGACAAGTGCCTAAGAATTCAAACTCTTCAATAGACTGTTGTGGTGTGTTACTGGAATGTTTCTCAGTGAGTCCTTCTGTGCGGACCTGTGTTCTCTGCGCGTTTTGTGAGTTGAGAGTGTTGTTCACCGCGTATGAGTGACTTCGATCCGAGGTAGGAAGTCCAAACCGGGTTCCCTACGCTAGCAGACAACTAGTGGAAGGGTTGTAAAAGCCGGAGTTGGGAGTCACTACCTGCAGCTTCGCTGAGTGCACTCGCGAGAGACTTTCCCCATGAAATCTTGAGTAGAGGTCCTTACGGATCTCTGGGTTGTGTTTCTGTAGTTTCAGGTGTGTGTGTGTTACGCTGCACTGTGCGACCTCCGAGTGAGCTCCGAGTGGACACTTGCAGTATTTCTGGGAGTAACAGTCGCCTGAGAATTCAAACTCCTCGATAGTCTGTTAAACGTGAGACTTTGTACCCTGTGTGTTCCTCTGTCCCTGTGGGTTTGACCTTTCTACCACTATATTGCAGTTTTAGCCTTTAGTGGATTATTACAATAAATGAAGAGATTATGTTAAAGTATATTTTGACAGAGATATATAGAAAAAATTAAAGATTCTAGATTCATAGAGAGCTAAAAAAAGATAGCTCTAAATAAGCTACATAAGCTACATTTGAGATAAACTTGAATGATAATCTAGTTGTATGTACTAGTTTAAAGATCATGTAAATATCACATTTTCATAATTTAGCTTACAATATAATCTGATTCAATTCATGAAAAACATGTACACAATTCAAAATTGTCAAAAAACAATTTTAATCTTTTCCAATTACAAATTATATTCACAAATTAATTTATGTATAAATATAAATATAAATATATATATAAGAAGTTGTTGATTATATAAAATTAAGCCTCAAATTTAAAAGATGTATCTTATAAATCGTAAATTATCACATAATGAATAGCTTAAATTTTATTTTTTGCACTCAGAATTTTAAATTTTAATCTTCCTAACAAGAAACATATAAAAGTACAACTATCAAATATTTTAAAAAAAATTTGTTTGTTATCTGTATAAGAATTTTGATATTGATGAAATATTTTAAAATGTTATGCATTTCAAATATACAAACAGTTTGACGCAATTTTGTATCTAAAGATTTAAGAAAATGAAGATTTTGATTCATTATTTGGGAAATAACATGAAAAAGTATCATTTTTTGCATAGTTCTGATATATTGTAATTAGAAAAGATGTTAATGTATTGAATGGTTGTTTTTTTATTTGTACAATATTTAAATAAGTTTTTTTGGTTGAATTCAACCAGAATTTTAATATTCAGAATTTTCATCATATTGTTCAATCTTAAATAATTTGAAAGTAGAATGACAACATAAACCTCCCATTATTTGCAATATTTTGATTTTTCTTAACAGTATTAAAATTTCTCTAATTGATCTTAATATGGATCTTTCACTTCTTCCATCTTTTGCATGATAAGAAAATTATTCTTCTGCAATATTCTTATCAGTTTGAGTGTTTACATCACCTTCATGCATGAGTTATTTTTATCAAGGTTAATTTTGCTCCCATTTGTATACTTTCAACTTCTCATTCAAATTATTTACACTTGTTGAGACTCTTTAATCTATAATGCGGAATACATTCAATAAATGTGATCCTTTTACTCATGAAGTTGTATCTCATAACCTGTATTAAGCTTTTCAACCAATTGAAATTTGAATTTTTTACTTCTTTACTCATCCATCTCTTATAGAGAATCCCCTTGCCATGCGAAAATTACCTATCTTAAGTTTTGTAATCTTTGTAATTTTTCAAGTCTTTTATTATCGCTTTTGCACTGCTGATCTATTTTATATTTTTTAATCGAAAGAAATATAAAAAACAGAATAGAAGATAGTGAAATAGCTACTCTAGCTACAACGCCACTGGGCATTGTTTGATTTGTTATAATGTATCCTTGAGTCACATAGTTTCTTGCTCAAAGTTGATATTAACATTTACACTGCCTCTGAATGAAAATTTTTGATACAATTTCAAATCAGTATATTAACAAATTTTTTGAAGCAATGTTTAGATTAGGAAAACTATGTTGTATGAGTTTAAACTTTCATGTCCTAACTGCATGCACAAATTTGAAGAAATCTACTTAACAAAGTTCTGTTTATACATCAATGAATGTTTACATGAATGTTATTTATTATTCATGAAAACATACATGTAGGAAGACAGATTTGTCTTTATTATCTAGACAAGATTTTTTCTACGCGCCTATAAAATGTGGTTCACGAGTGAGCCAATTTTCCACTCAAGTTCACTTTTCAACAAGCAAAAGAATGTCATCATTTCCGCTATTTTACTATTTTATGGACACTAAAGGAAGCAATTCTAAATCAGATGTATTCATATTTAGTCTTCGGGAAGCAAGACGAAAGCCCATATGAGCGCGTTCCTCTATGCTGAGACTGTGCTTTTTAAGAGAGAAGATGACCACAAGAGGAGCATGGAACATGTGGATGGACTGTGCCAGTTCCTGGTACCTGATAACTTCGAACTCTTCTTATCCCACATTATTTTATCCAATTTTGGAAAATGTAAAATATGTATAATAAATATAAAGTTCGAAGGCAAATGAAAAAGATTTTATCCCATCCACGTCACGCCATGTGGTCTGCATACACAACAACTCTGCATACGTTCTAGTTGCTGTAAACGTCTTAAATGATATGGATTTGACAATTATATGTCGAAAAAAGCGTGTATATAATTTTTTATGAATAAATACAAGCTTTCATTCAATATTGATATTATATATAAAGTCTGATAAGAATGTATCTTGTTCGTGCTTCCCATAACACAATATTTACAAATACATGAGATACTTGTGGCAGCACTTTTCATCGAAAACAATTTAAGATTGAAATGCTTCTGACTTTAAATATGAAATGTTTAACAATAAAGCGCAAATATTTGCAGAATGGTTTGGTAGCTTTTACTGTTGGCGAACATCAATGAATACTTTGTGCCAGAAGTATTGTTTGAATAGGGCAAAGAGATCTCTTTTGAGAGGCCTATGTCTCCACTGGTCTTCTTTTAGTGAGAACTTGAACCCAGTCAGATTCAACTGAAAACCTTTAACGCTTGCCGAGGAAGATTGCCCACTCGTCTGAAAATATCTGAGATTGCCCACTTGAGTGCTAAGATGATGTGAACATATCTGGTTATCAATCTGTACTCGTACTGCAAGGTGGCGGTCACGCCTTTTCCGCCTTCCGGAGACCACCTATTTCGATTTATTCTATCGATTCTCAATTGTCCAGCAATTTAGATAATCATGTTGTGGCGAATATACTTGAGGCTGGAGCTTCATCACGATACTGCTTCACAGCTTTTTATGTGACATGAAGATATTTGGATATCAGATCTTCAATTGGCGTGTCGATGCCAAAATATGAACCTGATGAATATATTAGTCGGAACTTGGAACATTCAAACAAGTTTTACAAATATCTATTCTAGACTGTAGGATTCCTACGTCGAGTTAGAAAGAAAATGGAAAAATGAGAATTTCCTTTATTGAAGAAGAAAGACAAGAAGTCTGGCAACTTGAAGGAAATCTCAGAATCAAAAAGGAGAGACCAACTTTTTGCCCTTCCCGTTTGGAAGACCAGCTCACGAGCTCTGTCCAACGATTCATCGTTTAAAAGGACGCCGTGCTTGATGGGCAGGTGGGAAAACAACATTGGCAGACCATAGGGCCTTCTGATTTCAGGTAGGAGACAGTTAATTGACATCGATATAAGCTCGTCAGTCGCCCAACACTTCGAGAATTCGTCCACAGGATTCCTGAAGAGGGCATTTTACGATGGACAGCGTAAAAAATACTCTGGCTGGAGCTTTCGGAAGCTCAGTCAGCACATTGTCAGGAGCTCTGTCAAACGATATTGAAGGTTCCGGAAATTCTTATCGAACTGTCTTGCCATCGCTTGTACTGCTTGCCACCATTTTCACTCTTGCTCTTAGCTCCGGATGGATCCGCAAGTTTGCGGCAGCATTGATCGACAAATCCAAGACAGCAGTGCTCCATTTAGCGGTGAAACAGAGGAAGATGTCAAAAGAAGAAGTTCCTCCAGGTAGTCTGGGCCTGCCGGTGGTCGGAGATTCGTTTAAGTATGTGAACGCATATTACAATATGACCATCAAGAGCTACGTGGACGAGAAAATTCGCAAGTATGGGCCGGTCTTTAAAGTGTCGCTGATGGGTAACAATACAGTTTTCTTAGATGCACCAGCTGGCACCAAGATCGTGTTGAGCCATAACGAAATGAAGTGGACGAAAGGATGGTGGCCGAAGCCGACTTCACAGTTACTGGGTCCGTATGCTCTAGCTTCGCAATATGGCAATGATCACCTTCTGCACAGAAATCATGTGATGCGGAATTTTCTGGACATTGACATTGTGCACCAGTACATTTCGACGATGGAGAAGAAAGTGGTGGAACATATCGACAAGTACTGGATGACGCTCGATGATGGATCCGAAGTGAAAGCTTTCAAGCTTACGAACGTGTTCACGTTCTCACTTATCACGCAGATGATGCTAGGAATTTCCAAGGAGGAAGACATTATAGTATTCAATGAAGTTTTCCGCGAATGGGCTGCAGGTGGTTTGGCCCTTCCGGTGAATCTACCGGGATTTCAGTTCCGGCGCTCTCTTAGAGCGAAGAAGCTCATCGATCGGATGCTGAACGATCAAATAGAGAGGAGGAGACAGGATCTGAAAACTGGACGGGCTTCAGCCACCCAAGATCTCCTATCGGTGCTGATATCTAAGCCCAACAGTGAGGGTCATTTCTTCACCAACGATGAAGTCTGTGGCAGCTTGCTGCACCTGATCTTCGGAGGCCACGACACCACCGCAGCCACGCTCACTCTCGCCCTCCGATGCATCAAACAGAATCCTGCCGTCTACGAGGAGCTCAAACAAGGCAAGTGATACCGTCGAAGACAAGAGAACATGAATCTGGTTCACAATCTCCATGCAGAGGGGGTTTTGTCGATTGCTTACGTGCTCATAAATGTAGACTTTGATAGAGTTGTTTCCACATGCTTTGTGTACATGGACTTTGGAGACAAACGGATATGTGGTAGCTGGTGATGTATATATACACGAGCACGGGGTATATTTATTCTGTTTTCGATGGTTGATTTGACAGAACATGCAACTATTGCTGCCAGCAAAAAACCTGGTGAGCTTTTAACGAAAGAAGATCTGTGGGCCATGAAACATACTTGGAGGGTTATGCAAGAGGTCATGCGGCTCTATCCGACCGTGCAGGTGTTATTTCGCGAAGCCAGGATAACCTTCGAGCACCACGGTTACACTATTCCCCAAGGATGGAAGGTATGTTGACTACAAGTGACTTGAGTTTCTGAAATTCTTATTCCCTACAAATGTACTCATGTACAGAGGAGATGTAATTAGCAATCCGTATTTGTTAGACTCAATCAGAGAATGGTCATCGGTTAAAGCATCGAAAGATAAGAGGATAGTATGGCAATAATTCGTGATATTCTGCTTAATCTGGTGTTTGAGATTGTTAGTAGTTAAATAGCATCTTGAAAATATGATGTGGATTCAGTATTGAGTATGTTTCTTGCAGCTGTGTATCACAAGTGCGAATTCCAGTTGGGACCCCAAGTTCTGTGAGGATCCAGAAAAATTCAAACCGTCCAGATTTGACGAAGACAATGAAAAGATGCCACCATGGATCCACTTTCCTTTCGGGGCAGGTCATCGCACATGTCCAGGACAGGATTTTGCCAAAGTTGAGCTGCTTATTTTTATGCACCATTTTCTCCGGAAGATTGATTGGACGGTGCTTGTTCCAAACGAGAGAGTTATCTATAGACCGCTGCCTACTCCTGTAAATGCAACGCCCATCAAGATAACTAAAATCAGAAGCTAAGACTTGTATAGAATTCTGCTGCTTGCGTGTTGTCTATTTTCCTATCTTCTATTCTAGACATTAACGTGCAAGATCGTTGTGAAGTACTTTTCATCGCTGTGATTTAATGGTGAAAGTTAATGTCTCAATTGCAATTTGACCATCATTTATAAATATAATTCAATGTTTATATATTTTTTGAAATACTTGGAGAAAATTATACACCGTCATTGTCATTATGAAGCCGTTTCCTAAAAATTCGTGGAGGGAAGGGGGAGCCAAATGCAAAAGGAAAAGTGATTCCGAGCCAAATCTACGGACTCTAGGTACCTGGGAACACAAAGTACTTGTCTAGTAAATGCAACTTAACTCTTTGACCTCCGAATAGAAAATGTGAAGCGAAGTGAAGTGAAGTGAACTGGCAGAACATGGGATAAGATCCTCTAGCTCCATACAAATAGCTCCGATCTCGTTGTTTGCGTCGAGACTTTGTTGGTAAAGAGCATGGGAGAATATAGAAACGTTTATTAAACCTGATAATCTAATCAGACTCTGAACCGACGTACCTCATGGACAGGCTGCAGAGAGAACCTTTTTACTGTATATCAAACAGTTAACAGATGTATTTGAAAATGAAAAGATATTATCTCTCTTTATTTTTTTTATAAAGTATCTCTCAGATTCAGTTCATTCGATTCCATTTATTTCAAGTATAGTAAAAGAAATTATAAATATTTAACCAACACGTCAAGAATAAACTAAAATATTAAGTTATAAATAAGTGAGACAAAATTTCCAATTCTAACCTTTCTTGCATAAACTCGTAACGTTTGGTACTAAAACACCATATGGAATATCTGGCCAGACTTGGGAAACGTCCAACTGTTACTGGATAAAGAAAAGTACTTAATTGTTGTGTCATGAAGATGCCACTGGAAAATTAAAAAAAAATTAATTTACCACTATTAGCTTCATACTAGGTTGACATACATAAATAATTTGAGAAATGATATTAATTATTTAACCTGTGTGAATGGAATGTGTTATGTTTCAACTGCCATGTCCCCTTGATAAACTTCATTTTCAGGTACAAGGATAAGCAACTAGGCTTGTTGGCTAATAGGTTCAAGATCCCGATATGAGTAAATACCGCCTAAGATAACTAGGAGACTTACAAAAATCAATTATTTGTAGCTTAGAAGTGATTGAAGCGATTAAAGATCTGAAGCGCTTGTTGTTTCGCTTTCTCGCCTTCAATGTCGTCCGTTAAAAAACTAGCTCGTCCATAAGTACCTATACAATATTAGGATTCAATGAAATATGTAGACAATTTTTGAATTGAAGGTGAGCATGAAGTGTGTTGTTGATGTAGACAATTTCAAAAAAATCATTTGTCTTCTTATTAGAGAGTAGCTGTTACTCTGCCCACTTCTCCAGGCGCACTGTCAACTGATGCGTCTGATTTATTTCTTTGCCAAATGGGGTTCTGAAGTATTGACTTTCTGGACATTCGTACTACACAGAAGTTTCATGCCAAATTTCTCCTCGCATCTAAACTCGATATAAAACATGATTGCACAGCCACAACTTGTGATGTCTAAGGAAATGTTTTCTGTTTTTGAGAACTTGAGTTCTCGACCAACGGGAAAGTCATTTAATATAAGAGAAAAGGCCCCGTAGAATAGGGTAACAGCTTATCCACATCTTGTGGGTAAGCTATTACCAAATCCTTAAAGCTCTTCAATACCCTTTATTCAATTGAAGTCAAAGTCACAAACTTAGTATAATGCTCGGACATGTTTGATAGAGATTGAAAGGACTCCATGAGACTGTAAGACGAATCAATCATTGTAAACCTGGTATTACACCTATTCTCCATATCAAGTCGAGGAACTTCCTTTGTGTTGTGTTCTCGCGCCCCTAGAAAAATTTGAACCTTTTTGAAATAAGCGCGCATTCGAGATGATAAGCGTATCGTCTTTAACATTGCCCGGAGTTTTTTCACCTTGGGTTTGGAAATTGCTTCATTGTCAATCACAGCCTGATGCATGATATGGCATACGCAGCGAAGGTGCCATCTATAGTCTAGACTAAGAGAAAAATTATTTTTTACTTCGTCTCTTAGATTCTCGAAACCAGGAATCATTTCACTAGCATTGCAGTTGTTGCAGCTATAATCTTCGTGTGCACATTTGCTGATACAAAAGATTCTAGATAAATGACATTGTAGACCACGGATCAAGGTGGTGGAAAATATTTAAAGTCAAGAGTAAAGTTACGCAACTTTCAGGTTTTATCAATCCAATGAAGCGTAATCACAAAATAACTTTGCAAAGTTCTAGTGGACCACTCATCACAAGTAATTGGAACTCTTCCTAGAATAGCTTCTACAATATCACAAGATTGTTTGGTATCTGTTTTCGTTTCGTTTGATATGGCACGAGTAAGACTTCGGCGCGAACAGCCAGACCAAAACCGATTTAGAGTGTTCGTCATTTGTTTCAAAGAAACTGATTCAATTGAGCAAAAGCTTTGCTTCGTGTCAATCACTCAATTACCACATTCGTCATGATCTTTGCCTTCGTTTCATCATCACAAACGTTATGCACTTCTAAATATGAACCGGATTTTGAAAAGGTCGTTTGGGAAGGATCACCTGGCAATGCGCCTTCCAATGATTCGCGCGTGATGCTCGCAATGCAAGCAAGTCTATTGGATCCTAGTACATGTACAAAGTACGGACGAACCCAAGATGTGCGCTTATGTTTTTCTATATGGCGATCGCTGGAAAATACTGCCAGTGAAGATAAAGGTAGAACAACAAGTTTACCATTCTCGGATTCTTTGTCTTGGTCCATAATGCCACCAAATCTTCCTGTAATATGTGAAGTGCATGTCCTGTTCACTCTCTCTACCTACTTGTTGTCTTTGACATCCAAATTCTCGTGTGCAAGGATGATATGTGTTACTGTTTTCAGAAATACTAAGCACTAAAACATGGAGAGAACTCTCATTTGCAGAAAGATAGTACAAACTAGACACGTGTATGTACTTTCAAAATATGTGGCGAGACTTTTAGCCAATGGCTAGCCGCCTAAACTTGGGGCATTAGCCAGCTAGCCGTTTGTATCGGCTAGTCATAATTTAGACGGCTTCGTGTCCATCCCTACCCACAGGCGTTTCGGGTGGCATCCAAGGCTCTCCAGCTGAGTAGAAAAGTGATGAAGATTTCCACTCCTTAGGAAACTTAGAATCTCCAGCAAGGGCATGATCATAATGTAATAACCCACCAAAGGCTAAAACTGCAGTATGGTGGTAAAAAGATCGAACCCACAGGGACAGAGGCAACACACAGAGTAAAAATGTCACGTTTTAACAGACTTTTGTAGAGTTTGAATTCTAGGCGACTGTCACTCCCAAAAATACTGCAGTGCTCGACTCGGAGGCTCGACTCGGAGGAGGATCTCGACTCGGAGGATGCTCGGAGGATGCACGGTACAGCGTGGTCACTCAACACACACACACACACACACACACCTGAAACTGGCAAAAGCACAACTTGGAGGTCGGTCAGGACCTCCGCTTCGGATTTCAGGAGGAAAGTGTCTCAAAAGTTCACTCAGAGGTTCTGCAGGTAGTGACTCCCACTCCGGCTTTTACTGCCCTCCCGCCAGGAACTAGCGTAGGGTACCCAGACTGGACTTCCCACTTCGGAACGAAGCCTCTTCATACGCCGTGGACGTCACCCTCGACTATCACACCAAACGCAGGGAGTGCAGACCCGACTGAGAACTTAACTGAGACACGATCCAGTAACACACACACAACCTGAATTACAAACCAAGGTTTACACGAAGTAATAAAACTTCACTTTGGCATTCAGGGGAAACTTCCCGTAGGAGTACAATCAGGATATGTCACTCGAAGGAGTAAGGGGGAACTGTTCAAGTATCTAACTCGCAGCCGGCTCTGAGCATCAGAAATCACCCGCAGGTGCAAATCCGCACTACTCAAGTCTCTAACCGGGTGCTAGCTCTGAACATTCAGCCGAAGGCCTTCAACTACAACATACGGTAACTTCGCTATGCTGCAGCTTCTCTACGTGGTGCCAGGACTAAATGCACAAACACGCCAAGAAAGTGAGTTCCTGATCTGCACTTCCGAAACTGGAAGAGTCCCAAAGCAAAACGCCTTGATCTACTTTATACCCTCAAAGGTCCTAACTAGCACTACGCTATCCTATCTACTTCTCGCAACATCTGCGAGAAACCAAACTATTCTACTGCACTCGGCGGATCCGGTGCTGCGCCTCCTGCGCGCCGGACTGCTCCGCTCGCTGTCTCTACCTTGCCAGTCTTCCGACCGGCTGCGCAACCCCAGGCGTCGGAGCGCTGCAGTGACTTCCGACTCTAAGTGCGGCATAGTGTCGCGCGCACCCGACAAGAAGGTTTCTAACTTCCTCGCCACTCGCCGCCGACTCCGACTGTCACCCTCCGTCAATGCCGCCGCCCGAAGCTCGAACTCCCTGAGTGTGATCTTCTCTTGAGCTGCCACCTCCCAATGGGCGTATCCTTTTAGACAATGGGTCACCCGTGTCGCCAACTCTTCTCGCGCCCTGCAGCTGCCTTCCACCTCTGCTAGCTGCATTTCCGCTTCCGCACGCTGCGCCCTCAAATCCGAGCACTCGGATTGCAAGTTGCGCAACAACTCCTCATCCTCCTTGCGGGCTCTTTGACTTTCTTCTAAGGCGCGCGTCTGGCGCGCAAGCTCGGCTGCTAGGACGTGGTTTTGTCTCCGCTCTTCCTGCAATTCCGACTCGATCTTTGCCCGCATTAGCTCGGCATCCGCCTGACTTTTCGTCGCCGCATCCTCCCTCTGCTGCTGCAAGGCTTGGTATAGCTTCTGTGTGACCGCCAGGTGTTGTCGGAAGGCGGTGTTCCTATCCACATATACTTGGCACCTAGAGGCCCAACGGGCCACCTTGCTCCTCGTCCTTCGCCTGATAGTCTCCACATAAGACTGCGGTTTTCCAGTACCTGCGTACTTGGATGTCTTGCGATCCAGATATCGCAGGAGTGGGACTATCTGCTCGCACAACACCCCTGTTGGCGTTTTCTGCACCAAATCCGCTTCCTGCTCTTCTGAGCTCGTCTCATCCTC